AGCTCATTCCAGGTCACCAGGGAACATGTTTTTGGTTCCATGTGGGAAGAACTGTGTGGAGAATGAACAGGGAAACAATGAGAGCAGGCAAAGATGGTGTGGAGATGTAGAACACAATGCTCCCAGGTTTCGTGGACCTGGGACAATGTGGAATAAGACCTTAAAATAATCATGGTGTCCCTGCCTGTGGCAGGGAGTTGAAACCAGATGGTCTTTGAGACCCCTTCCAACCCAAACCATTCTATGATTCTGTGTTTCTGGATTTTAGGATGGGTTGTTTGTGATATGGATGATTAGGAAGTGCATGAAATAATTCAAGACCTTGTTAAGAATATTTTTGTCTGAGTTATGTACTCTGCCTGTGAAGCTGCAGAAGGGTGGCTGAGAACTCCCCTGTTATTAATGAGAATTGGGTGATAACTCCAGAACTGTCTGGGTGAGGCACCACAACCAGACAGATAATTTGCATCCCCTTTATTGTGGCTTTGTGTGCTTTTATCACAAGGTGTGAATGCGAGAATGTAACACATTATTCTCACTGACTTGCTCAACTAGAACTACCTAAAATACACAGATTCCTCTGGAATTCAGCAGCTTAGGCTCAGTCTGCAAGAAGGGCTGTGTGTTATCAGTGTTACCAGGCAGTTCAGGCATAATTTCTGCTGAGTGACTCTCTCCAGCAGTGGGATGTTTTATCTGTCTCTCTGTCAGCTCCTCAGAGATATCGCTGTGTTTTATTTGCCGATGGCCTTGATACACAAAAATGTGTTAAACTGATCCACAAGTTAAATTTCTTTACTCGTGGATGTCTCCTCATTCATTTCTGTTGGCATTCGCAGAGAATAATGAATATAATAACAAAATGGGCACGAACAACCCAATCACTAATGGTTTGAAGGAGACACTGGGCTCGTTGTAGATAAAGACACAAACATTAGTGATTTTACTGAATCCTGTCCTCTTCCTTCTCCCAGGAGGCAACTAATCAAACCAAAAGTATTTTTCGTGTCCCTAACTTGAAAATACAGCCCTGAATTGACACACCTGCTTAAGTGGGTTTGTACTGAGAATCAGAGAGTCCCCGTTCCAGTTTTTAAAGTCATTTCCACCGTGGTTGGGCTTTATAAGCTTTCACCTGACCAAATCCTTCCAAGCAACAGGATCACAACCTTGGCATGAGCATTGGGAAAAAAGAAAATGGAAGAGGTGAGGAAGGGAAGGTGTAAAACAAGCAGGGAAAGTGGGGAAGTGCACAAAACAAGCAAAGCCTTCTTTTTTTTTAACTTGTGACAATTCCTCCTCACTTAGACCAGATGGAATGAGCTTCCAGTGCTTTTGTTTTTAAACTGGTTTAATTTTGTAGCTGTGTGGGCTTTATTTGTAGGCATGTTACAGCAATCATGGGCAGGCAAAAATAACACAACTTGCTTCTCTTTCCCATGGATGTCATAGACATGAGGTAAGGCTGGGGTTTTGTGAGGTGTTCAACTCTTTTTGATGTGGGCTGAGTCTGAGACGAGGTATCAGCGATGTGCAGAGTCTGGGGAACGGGACGTGGTGGAGCTCCAGCACAAAAATCTCTTGTAATGACAGATATAGAAGTTCAGATCTGCACCCAAATATAGCAGGACTTGGAGGCCTTCAGCTTTTAAATCCACCTCTGTTTAATTCAGACTGTGAAAATGGCCCTTACCCTTTTACACTGTATCAAATCCAGCAGATTTAGCTGGAAAAACTACTTCTGGAGTAAAATCCAGCAAAGTGGACACCAAGATTTGCTGTTTGATCACTGAATTATTATTTTTACACCCAATTCTCTTTGCCTGTGAGACTCTGCATGGATGTGGAACTGGAAAGCAGCTTTAAGGCTCTGATCACCCCGACATGGGGCTGTGCATGTTCATGAACAAGGTGAACTGTTGTCAGTATTAAGGGATAAGTTTTCTGCCTGAATGTAGTAAAACTGTAATAAATAACCTTCAAAGTGAGGATCTGCTACACTACAGTAAGTGAATTGAGTGCATTCTGTGTGGTCAATAACAATTTAAAATTGGCAGTATCTAATGAGTCGTACTCGTGTGTGTTCATAGGTTATACAGCATTTTCTAAGCAAGCACTGATTTTCAGAAGCAACTCCCACTGAATTTACCACTCTGAGATGATTTTTTTCCCATAAAATATGCTCATGATCTCATTTCCATAAAGCCTATTTAATTTGCAAACTGATTAGTAAAAATACAAAGGGGGTAGGGGCTATAAAGTAGATTTGTTGCTTACATGTTTTTTAATATCTCACACAAATTCTCAGCAGTTCTTTAAATCGTGGCTGTCAGAAAGCAGAATATTAACAGCTAGTTCAGATAATCACGTGAATTTTTTATGCTCTCAGATATTCTAGATTTACTATCATTTCCTCAAGTGTGCCTGAATTATGGGACCAGACATCCTCCGTTCTGCCTGACCTGTGGTCAGAATGGCCTTGAGACATCACAGCTCAAGAGCTTTGTGGAAGTATCCTGACATTTTAGCCTGGATTTTTGGCAGGCTCGTAGGTTTTCCCTGGCTTTCACCACCACATCAGTCACGGCAAAGGATTGGCATGGCTAAGTTTGGCTTTTAAATTCTGCAGAACAGAACATCAGTGTTGATATTTCCTTGTCCTTTGCAGAGTCTGTGGTTGAGTCTGGATCTCCAGGTAACTAACGGTGTGCTGTGGTGACCAGTAGGGTTTGGACACTGGTGGTGCTGGTCAGGAAGGTGATTCAGCAGCTCTTGGGCTCCTTCTCTATGTTCATCTCCACTGAACTTTCCTACTCTTTGTGTCCCCTCTGATTTAATTAGATATAAATTCTAATATATAATACTGTATGTGTGTCTCTCATGCAAAAATGCTTCGTTAGTGCAATAGTTAACTGGGAAAAAAACCCACAGTGATGATCTTATAAGGTACTTGTTTGTGAGCTTAATTAGTAGAAGGGTGCATTGAATATTAGGTGCTGGCCCTCTTGATAAGTAACTGACACTTTCTCTTCTGGTGCTCTTGCCCAGCTGCTTTTTACGTGTCAATCTGGGGGAAAGGCACTGATTCTATTCAAGATTAGAATTATCTTGAGCATCTTGTTAAAAATACACATCGTTAATAATGATGGAGTCCTAAAGAACACACATTTTTCATCAAGGGCATCATGACATCCTTACAAAAAAAAACCCCCCAAAAAACTGATTTAATATCAGCCTTCCCCATTCTGTGAAGGCAGGATGCTTTCGATGCAACAGCACCTTAAACTCTGGGGCAGGAATTTTATTTTAGAACTGTTAGAACAATTCCATCTGAGCCTTTGGATTAGCAATATACATTATGAATTTCTCCTGAAACCAGGGACCATATGCCATCACTGTAAGGCAGAATATCAACCTCCAGGTAGGTGATAAATCAGTAATATCTGAGCACTGTGATCTTTTCATCTGAGTCTGAATTTCTAATGCCAGAAGAAAATCCAGCTTTTAACTTAGAACTGGTATTTGTACTGGGAGAGAACAGATCATTGTAGTGGAGACAGAGCAGGCTCGTAGGACACCAACAGGCATCACACCAAGAGTAAGGAAATACGTTGCTCTCCCTGCTTTCGTATTTTTACTATAGGTCTGTTCCCTTGAAATTCTACATTAAATTCATCTGAGTACATGGCTAGGACAGTTGCATGTCATGTGATTATTTTTATTTATTTATTTTTAGCTAGTAGTTTTTCCAGCCAGCAGCCTGATTTTAACCTTGGTACATGCAGCATTCCTGGCAGCACTGTAAATGTGAACGGTGAGCACCATGGAACACTTCAGGAGAGGGAATAAATTCCCAGTTTATATCAGACCTGACCTGTTACTGGTTTGCCTTTTGTTACCGCTTGCCAGCAGGGAAAAAAAAATTGATTCTTAGAGGCTGGAAAAAACAGGTCTTCCCAAACTTCCCAATCCCAGAGCCTAATGAGTTAAATTTTCCTCCGAGCAGGATTTGAGCTGCTTAGACACACAAGGTCAAACGGAACCGCTCCATTACCTATTCTGACTCGTGCAGAGAGGGGGGCACAGCTCCTTTGGGACAGAGCCCTCGGGAGACGGTGACATAAGCAGGGAATATATTCCCTGCTCCCAGCATTGCAAGATGTCCCTATTTTTCTGGGGCCGGCTGCCCCCCGCCTCCCCCAGGCTGATCCCAGCGAACTGCAGTCCTGCATCCCCTCGCTGCCGTAACTCCCTGTAAACATGGCATTAAGTACAGGCGTTGAGGTCACGGGAGAGGATTCGGACTAGAGATAGGGAGGCAAGATGGAAATGCAGAGCGGGAAGCTTGGGATGCCTTGCAGGATGCAAGGATTGTGACTTCAGGGATGGATCCCTGCTACCTTTTGTCCCGTTTTCCCACGGCGTTTTCACGGCATCCCCGATTTGTGCCGATGGTGATGAGGGACTTGGGTGTATTAAATCGTGAGAGCCCTGCGTCTCGATATTCACACTTCACTGAATAGCAGCAGTTCAGCCCCCGCGGAGGATTTTTGGGTTGGTTTGGCTTTTAATAGCAAGTTAAGGGATGAACGCATCCGATGCTCCTCCATCGCCGCGCCGTGCGGACACTTCATTAGGACGGCTGAAGTTAATAAGCAGCGGTAGTTCCTCGCCATCAGCCATGTGAAAAGCTAAAGCACTTCGTGCATCCTCCGAAAATCCTCCAGCTACACCTCTCCCCTCCCAGGCACCGCTGGAAAGGGAGCGGGGAAAGAAAGGCTGGCATTTTGCTAGATCGGGATATTCTCTCCTTCTCTGTCACGAAAGTTATTGGATGCAGGAGCTGTTCCCAGGCAGGCAGATACGCTATTGCATAACGCTGGCGCTCAGCGCCAGCCTTTATCCTCATCCCTACGAAGTTTTCCGCTGGAAAAACCAGCGGAGCGGGGGGTGTTTTTGGGTCTGGGGGCGAGCGAGCCGCGGGCAGGGCTGTCCCTTACCTTATGCTTCCTCACGCAGAAGTGGCGGTCTGGGCGAGCATCTCCCTCCCGCCGCCGGGGCGAGCTGGGCGTCAGAGCCTCGGCGCATCTGCCGCGGAGGAGCCGCGGAGCCGCCGCCGCCGCGCTCCCCGCTGCCCTCATGGGCTGCGGCGGGGGCTCGGAGTCCGGGGGTCCCCTCGGCCGGGTCCCCGCCGAGGGGAACTTGTTGAGCGGGACCGGCGGGCGTCCCCCAGCCGGGCGGGAGCGGGGAGGAGGAGCCGGGGGCCGGGCTGGCGGCGGGGGCGGGCGGGGGAGGTGGGATGGTGGGATGGAGGGATGGAGCGATGCTCGCCGCGCGGGGTCCGCGCAAAATGAAGGGGGGAACCGGGAATCCGCCGCTCGCAGCCTCGCTAAAACCCCACAGTTACTCCTCTGTTTCCTCGACGCGTGGATTCGTTAATAATAGATTCATACACACCGTCCCCGAGCACCCCGGTTTTCCAGTTGCGCTACGGGAGCACTGGAGCAGCCGCAGAGTGGGTGATGCTGATCCACTGGGAATCTCAGCGAAGCACTGGGTTAAAGCTACGCGGCTGCGTTTTATTGGGAGGGCAAGTGTTTGAGGTGCTGAAGGAATAGATGCTCCCATTTGCTTTTAAAGCTCGGGGAAAATGGATGCGAGTTCAGAGCAAAGCCCTTTGGTAGAGCAGCCGGGATTGATAAATGCGATAATGGGCTTAAAACTTCAATCCCATCTTTCCTCATTCTCTCTCAAACCACTTTGTCTTTTTATAGAAGGTTTAGTTTTTCATAGCAAAAAAAGTTGGAAGTTAAATGGGTCGTGTGTATTTAACCAGACTGACTGACAGAAGATGTCACGAGAGGCACGGGAATTGGTCCGAGTTGGGAAGCGGTGGGTCGGTCTCCTTTCATTCTGAGAATTCCAGTAGTTTTGCTGTTTAATACTTTTCACCATGGCATAAAACTCACCTAACCCAGGTGCCACCAGGTGCAGGCCACAGTTTCTCTGTGGTGGCACCGCCTTGGCCATGGGTGGCGTTGATGAGGATTGTTGATTTTGGGGTTACTGAAGCAGCCCCTGATTTGAATTGGCAGCTGCGAGCGGCCGGACGAGCCCGAACCGCCCCGTCAGTGCCAGGGCTGACAAACACCTCAGCACAGGAGGGAGGGACACCCGGGCTGGGCACTGCACGAGTCAGTGCATCCACAGGGCAGGATGCAGCAGAATTCCTGGCTGGAGTCCTGGGTGTCTTTCTGGAGTTAATTAGCTGGAGCAGCCCATTGCAACAGGGAACGCACGGCGCTGCCGCAGCGGCCGGAGCATCGCGCCGGGGCCAGGCTGGGCAGGGGAGAGAGAGAGAGACCCCCAGAGTGGGCAGGGACATCCCTGTGGGCACAGCTGCCACACAGACATCGGCGTGGAGGTGGATCCACAGAATTCCTCGCTGGTTAAACTGCAGTTTGGCTGTGCAGGACTGGAGCAGAGCAGTGTTCAACAAATCAGGCAGTCAGCAGAGGGCAGCTAAGTTGCTCTCCCTGCCTGTACCTGTCCAGGTATCCGACTGCCCTCCTTCCTCTGCTCCTTACTCTGCAAGTTTGCTGCTGATCCCTAAAAGAGGGTGTCCAAGGGGGTGATTTCTGCATCAGCTGCTGCTCTGCCCTGGGGTAGGAACTGGGGGCTCCCCAGTCTGGTGGCACAGCTTCGATCACACTGAAGATCTCTCATGGTATTTTATCAGAGATTCTTTGTCCCCAAGACATCAGTGGGGAGAATTAAATATCAACTTGCTTGTTGATGTGACAGCATCCACCATGCTTTTGCTTTTTTCCTTTCTCTGCTTTTCTTTCCAGCAGTGCTGACTTGCTCTATTCCAGGTCCTCTGTGGATTTCTCTGTACCAAAATAAATGTGTTTTTTGGCTGCAGCCTGTACACAGACGTGGCTAAAATTACATGGTAGGGTGACCATGTTTTAAATAACGTGTGCTACTTGCACAGAGGAAATAGATCAGTGGTAGGAGATGCTGTTGCTTTTCCCAGGCTGAAGATGTGACTTTGCACAGACCATGATTACTAGAAGAAAATACTCGATATCCTGAGTGACTTGAAAGGAGAATCTCTCTGACAGAAGCAGCAGTTAAACATCATTCTTGTCTTCTCCATAATGATATTTAGAAGCTGTTGTCTCAGGGCTGATTAGCCTTGCACAGCATTATGCATATGCCCCATTTATAAACCATACAGCATTTTCTGTAGATTTTTAGGGAATTAGAAAGTACTTTCTAGTTCTGGACCAGATTCACGTGTAACTACTGACACCATTGGTGTGCCCAGGGATATTTCAGATGAGGGTTTGTGAAGAATGAAGTGTTTCCTGATTATTGTGGTTCACGTTACTGTAAAAGCACGTAGAAGTAAATACACTGGGAACCTGGAAATGCTTCATCATCCCCTTTGCCAATTTTTTAGCCTTTAAAAATGCTGAGCACAACTGTTGCATAATGAAATGTAGTGTCAAAGCAGTGCTTGAGAAGGGGGAGAGAGGTCGGGCTTCAGCCTGGGAGGATGCAAAGAGAAAAGAGACAGTTCAGTTTAATTGTTTTAGATTACAGATTTATTGCTCCCCTAATGGAGTGTCCTGCCTTCCCAGGTTGCCTTTTTCTCCCAGTGTTTGTCAGGGAGGGGTGAGCACTGCCCAGGGCTGTGATGGTGTGTTCCCATGACACGGGCAGGTGGGTGGGTGGAAGTCCTGCCTTGGACTTACGGAGTGAAGGAGAAAATCATATATTTGAGACCATATATATATATATATATGTATTTTTAGTGGTGTTCTCTGTGGAGAAGTACAGCAAGGGGTCCTTCTTCCACACTGCTAATTGCATAATAAATTTGGGGAGGAGTGTGTACTTATAAATGTTAATCTTCTAGCACAGCCTGATGTTACAGACTTCAGATTTTCCTTGGTTTTTTTTTTCTTAAATTCAGCTTCTGGGAGAGTGTGAGGAGACAGGGCATTACTGAATGACTGAGGTGCTGGTGTGGGAGGGTCAGCCTGTGCCCTCCTGGTTGGCAGCACCAAGACCTGTCCTCCCCACGCTGAGGTTTTGGCTCAAGGGCTGCTCCTGGGGGGCTGTGTGTGCTGAGCAGGTGTTCTGTGTGATCACCCTTCACTAGAATGTGCAGGTCCTACACTGAAATGCTAAAATGTGATTTTCTGGAACAGTCTATGAAGTTCTTGTCATTCTTTGAGGAAACAAGCTGGAATCCAGCACATGGAAAAGCATGTGGCAGCCAGAGCTGGAGTTATCATTGGCTGTTCCAGAGAGCACCAGCGAGGGGAAGGCGATAAACCAACACCAAAGGGCTGTTCAGAATCAGCCTGAAAGCTGCTGTTCAAACTTCCCCTGGTTTGAAACGCTGAGGGGCAGGTTCAGGGGTGAGTTCAGGGCCCTGTGAGTAGGGAAGAGCCAAGGAAACGTCCAGTGTCACGTCCAGGTGAAGGATGGGCTGGAGATGCCCCTTGGCAGGCTCTGCTGAGCTGCTGATGTGTCTGGGGCTCGGGAAGGTGTCACAGCTTGGGACCATTCCTTCAGAGCCTGCTGTTGGATCTACCTTCAGTAAATTAGGAGGTGTAATTTAAGTCCCAACACTAAATACCTGAGCTAGGCTCCAAGGGATATACACAGTCCTTTAGGACCAGCCTAATTTGTCTCAGAACATTACAGATTCTGTTTTAGGTGAAAGAAGGGTGAAGTTCACTGCATTTGAAACACAGATGTGGACAATGTTGTATCTTTTCTCCCTATAGTCACTTGGGCCCAGTGCTGTCACCCAGTCTTTGCTAAAAGCAGGTATTTTGACATTGCTGAATCTTTATTCCCATGAATTAGGTGCTTTTTCCAGGCCTTTGGATGACATCTGCCTGCCTTCCTGGACTACGTTGGTTATTTGTTTATTTACTTATTCCAGCCTGCCATTGGAAGAAAAATGGTGGGATGTTAAATATGCTTCTCTGCTCCAGCTGAGGTGGAGGCAAACTTGGCTTGAATTTCAAACAGGTCTCCATGCAGTCAAATCCTTGGAGGTGCTCCTTGCTTTGAGGAAGGATTTATTCTGCTTGGCTGTGATGCCAAAGAAATAAGGTGTCTCAGAGTCCTGTTCAGCAGAAATTTGAGGGATTTGATGTAGTGTCTTGCACCATGATAAGTTTTTTCCGTGAGCTTGGACAATTCATTTGAGCCTGTGCTGTTGTCTTTCTTTATCTGTTGAAGATAATCTTTATCTTTTGAAGATAAAGTGGATTTCAGCCTATGTGTGTAATACCCATAATACCTGTGTGCAGCTAAAATATTAACCAGCTCATTGAGGGAACTGCTCTTTGTGGGTTTGCTGCTCTAAGAAAGAAAATGCTGAGTAACCTCATTAGCTCTGATAGTTATTTCTGTGCTTTGTTGGGATAAGTAGGAGCAGGATTCAGTCCTCTCTCTCAAATTCTCTTTAGAAGAAAATATAACAGCAGGTTTCAGCAGCTAAAGCTGAGATTTTGGGTTCCAGTTGAATGGTGTCCCATCAGGAACCCAGATTGCTGTAGATGTTTATCATTCATACGAAGAAAAAAATCTGAATTTTCTTGGAATAAGAGTGGGAGTTTTTTCTTATTTCCACTGTGTTTCTAGTTCAGAAAAGTTCCCTTTCAATACACAGATATTTTTGGGAAGAGAACTAAAGTGGTTGGAAATCCTTGTTTGTTCTTCTGAGGATGAGGATTCTGATCTCTGGTGGTGAGGAATCATTTGTCTGATCAAGATGTTCTCAGTAGGTGCTGAATTCTGCCCTGGTTCCATTATCATGCAGCTTGTACAGTGTGGAAATAAATGAGGGGCTGGGAGAGTGTGATGTATGAGACCCTAAATGGCTGCATTTTGTTCAGATTTGAAAGGCAGTTTAGCTTGTCCTCATTACTGATGACTTGTGCTTTTATAGCCCTTCTTTCTGCATTTCAGAAATCCTTTGTGCCCATCTGAATAATAAATCACCCTGTTTGATTTGCTCAGCGAGAGCAAATGTGGAATTACATCCTTATTAAGATGTCTCGAGAAACTGG